ATATGGAGATTTTTCAGATTTTGGGCTCTGGCAGATGGAATCGACACACAGGAAAATATGATAAGATGCATGTTGAATAACTATTCAACCAGTGGATTTTGGCGTAGTTGGCATCGAAGTTATTACAGATGGCTCGTTAGGTAAAATCGGGGAGTCTTTTATTTTAATCTGTTGGATAAGAAATTTATCGTGTTTTCCGAAAAACCTGTTTTATCATTTTCAGATATATCTATGTTCCTCTGGGTGGAAATAAACGTCCAGTCATTAACATATTAGCGGTGTTCACGTTCGTCGCGATTTGGCATGACATATCTCTTCAGCTGTTAGCTTGGGGTTGGCTAATATGGCTATTTATTTTACCGGAAAAGATATGTACCATTATATTTTCGCCCCAAAAAGTAAGTTAAATTTTTTACACTGGTAAAGATTTTTTTAAGTTATATAACAGAAAAATTTGGTGAAAATTGTGTAGTGGGGTAATTGGACATATTATAGGCACCTGTGTGCGCTAGGAGGTGTGGGAAATCTGATTATGATGTGGATGGCCAATTTAATTGGATTTGCTGTTGGACTGGATGGCATGAATGTTTTGTTTACAAATATTTTTATGACTTCTCGAGGCAAGTACCGTTCCCATTATTATAGATGTTCTATTTGAAATATGATTACTGATCTCTTAATTAATTGTGCATATATAATTTGACATGAAACTATGTTTTGCACACAAATCATCACAACATTCACAGGTTTAATTTCACTTGCGCTTGCTTGCGTGGGAATTTTCTCTGCTGTACAAATAATGTTTGAAGTTAGGGAAGAGGAGAAGAGGAGGGATTTTAACCCTGAAATTAGATATTAGTTTATTGATTCTCACTAACAATAAAATGTCATCTACGATGTTATTAAACTATACAAATACAACATGGATTATTATTCTTTACTAATGGGGGTGTTATCAACAAGTTATGTGAAATGAACCAAAATACTTTTAGAAGAGCACGCCATATGATTCACTCTTCGTATTGTACCAAAACCAATTCTTCGTAGTATGAAACGCCATCGTCACCAACTCCATCCAAATTACAATCCTGAGAGCACGTAAAAATCATGATCGTACCCCACTCCATTCCCACATCAAATTGAGAGATCCCGTTATTCGATGCAGCATTACTCTGAGTGTCACTGCTATATTCACCTATCGGGAGCACACATAATAAGCTTGGCATCAATTGAAACTCAAATGCACGCCTAGAACCACATTTAGGGCATTTTGGTAACTGATGTGTGGTGGTTTTGAGTTGTTTAACGGAACCATATGGTGGCGATAACAATAATGAAGCCGTGGAATCACTTTGATTGTATAATAACGGTTGACCATCAAACTCATATCTTTCAATCAAACGAAAGATGAATGAGCGTTGACTTAGAATTAAGATTATACTGAGAGAACCATTAGGGAATTCACCTCTTACCTAATGCACTGTTCAGGCCATTCGTTTACGCGTTCAGAAAATCTTTTAAAAGCTTTATCCACACCTTTTGGTAAACGAGATTTTTCATATTTTTCACCACTCCAATCATCATTTTCATCATCCACAAAGAAGTTTTCTTCTTCCATCGAGATATTCAAGTAGCGCTCATACTTCTTGAGATCAGCAAACGAATTTTCCTCCTTCATCACCTCTTCAGCTATATATATATATTTTGCTGGAAAGAATGGAATTTTCTCCGGCCATGAAGCTTCATTCATTAAAATGATAAAAATTTTTTCTTAAGATACTATGTATACGATCTTGCTCCTATATGTGTCATGACTTACTTTTCGGACATTGCTGCGAAGAAGGATTTAATATCAATTTCGATGTAATTTCGTCACATAGTTTCGATTCAACGTCACCCCGATCCTTCTGGTCCGATCCCGCAGCCAGATTCCATGTTGACATTGAAGAATCTTGTATTGATTCAAAAGACGTAGTCTACATTTTCAAAATAAAAAAAGATAGCTTAATACCATTCTTCATTCGCAAATATATATAAATAATGATTTGATATCAGATATACATCCAACTTACGATCTCCCCGATCAAGCTACTATCACCATCCATAAATAACATTCCTCCTAATCCACCAGTTGATGAGTCATCAAACTATAGTTAATTTTAATAATCAAAACATTTCGATGGTCAAATTCAAGTTCACATCTGGCAATAAAATTGTCATTCGTACATTAATAGTTGACGCGTGAAGCGAAGAGTCAACTTTAGAAGAATTGGGTTTGTTCTTCTTTTGATTTTTTCGTGCATATTCTTCGTTTAGCCTATGAGACCTGAGAGCCCTGAAGCTGAATCGATAAAATTGATATAAATATAAACAATGAGGCTGCATGCAATCAAATTAGAAATCAATGAATAAAACAAATTACCTTCCCGGCCTTTTCATACACCGATGTTGATTACACCCCCAAACGTAAAAAACCCTATCATAAACAGAATCCTCAAAAGGCACATAGCCCTGAAACAATAAAAACATATCTCTCCCACAATTATTACAAACAATCAGATCATGTGAAGCTGGACACAATGCAATCAACCAATTTGGCACGCCACCGATTTTTGTGAGGTACGGGTCAACATCATCTTCTAGCGATAAATCTCCATCAGGGAAACCTAATAGGATTGAAACTGTTGTTGGTGATGATGTGATTTTTTTAGAGGGTTTTGAACAGGGCGAATGATCCTGATTGGATGGCAAAAGTTGTTTTCTCGAAGAAGATGAGGATTGGATGTGATTGGGAGAAGTGAGAATTTGAGAATTTGGTGTGGGGGATGAATTCTTGTGATTCTTGGATTTTCCATGTTTTTTATTTAACGACCTTGAGGAAGATGCCTGAGTATTAACCAATATGATGTCATTTTTATCTTTCTTTGAAGATCTTTGAGATTTTTTTGAGGAATTCATGATCTTGGAATTTTCGCTATATTTTCCACAAACCGAATAAAAAAAAAAGTTTTTTTTTTTTTAATCAAGTGCAGAAGGTGACATCACCAACTCATGTGTATCACGTGAGCCAATCGTAATATACACATACCATATGTAACTGACAAGTGTATCAATTTTAGTAATAAAAAGGCTTCCATTATATTAACGATTGAAACCCTTACGGTTTTGCATAGCCTCAAAGATCCTTTTCCTTCATATAACCTATCTGTTATTTAAAAATACAATATAGTGTGATACCTATGCCCAAATTCATGGTTAAAAAAACCAATTCATGCAGCATAAAGTGTCATTATTATCTTCTATTTAATGGATATTAAATAATTGAATGATGAGTTTGTAAAAATTTTAGAATCCAACTTTTTACAAAAAAATTGAACATGCGAATGGTGTGAATAGATGGTTGAGGAATTTTTCGCCGGGTACAAGTCGGAGATTATTAACATCATCTATTGATTCTAGTTAACTCCATATTTTCTATATCCGTTTAAATATGCATGGGAAAATTAATGGTGCGGTGCAATAAATAAATTGTGCATTATCCGACGCAATGGATGAACGATCGATTTCCGCTTTGGTCAAGGCATGCGATAAAAGCAATATGCATTCGCACGAAGTCGTCCAATCACACCTTCCGAATGTTAGAGTAAGGTAATTAATGTATATCTAACACGTCACAGAATATGATTACAACACGCGAAAGAGATGAATAAAGGAGAGAAGTCAATACAATTATGCGAAAATATGTTATTTGTATTCTTTTCATTGCCCAATCCTCGTTCATTAAAAATGAATTTTCTTTAAAAGAAAAAAAAAACCACATACAGTAAAATATTGATAAGATTTTGAAAGGATAATTGAAAAATAGGAATACATTGTTCGTGTCGTCTTTCACACATACAGTAAGTATTGTACATGTAAAGGTAAACAACGCGTCCATGCCTATTTAGGAAATATAAAGTTATGCATGGTAGACTAGCTTTTATATTCCGTTTTGATTTCCAAAACTATGTTGGATTCACATTATGTCCTAACCAGCTTGACGAATTACCGTTAATTCTGTCATTCTCTACGATCACCTATACTCTAATTGTGCATCTCATTGTGTATTCATAAAATCAAAACCAGCATCAGTGAAGAAAATACACAGTGCAGTGGAACAACTTAGTGTACGTACTAAAAGTTGGGATAATAGGAACAAGATACTTTATATAAGATTGTGATGCTTTTTCCGGTAATTCTTAATATTTCCTTATTCAAGCAATGATTACTTTTAAAAGACACTCGATCACCCTACACATATTGTTTTCCTATCAATTTCACATCCAAAATAATGGTTCTGTGAAACACTGTTGATCAATAAGGTTATCCTCCGATTATTCAATTAAGCTCTACTTACCTACACGCTTCACTTTGATGTCCAAATTTGGAACAATCAAAAATTCGATGTTAAATAATATTATTCTCTAACATATTATATGATTCTTTAAATTCATGTCGTAGTCGAGTAAGGTCATATACAGTATAATATATGATAATATTTCAAATGTACACGAATACCATTGTTCCTTTAAATCAATATTGTCTGGTTTTAATTATCCTCTTTCTTCATATTTACATGACAATTCCTATAAATACAACATCCAAACTTTGTTCATAGTGAATAAATTCTTACGATCGAGTTTCCTTCTTTAAATATCTCACTCTCCTTCGCGAAACTACAACACTTCAAGAATATTTACTGTTCTAAAACAAGCATGTCATCTTCCGAAAAGCAAACAGTTGATTCTCCGCCATCTTACTCGGAAAATGAGTCGACACCGACAATCCCATCACCGGTCTATGTCAATCCAACTCAGCCGACGTCAATTTCACAGACCTCACTTACTCCTTCCGACAACGTTCTACTTCCCGACGACAGCTCGCTTCCCTCGTATGATCACGTGAAAGTGGACATACCACCAGAATATCCAAGTAAATCGTGTAAACAACTCCAACTCGAACACCCCTGGAATTTGGTACCCCTCGAACCACAAGAAGCATGGCCCATCACGAAAAAACTTTACGTTGCTGGATTCCTGATCTGGCCACTTTGGTATTTGGGGGTGGTGTATAGTTTACTTGGTAAAGATGCCAAAACAAAAATGTGGGGTAAACGATGTTTTCTGAACTCACTTTTAATCACGGCGGTTTATGTTTATATAGTGATAGCTATTTGTAGAAGTCGTACTCACTCGACATAATAATTGTAGCAGCAGCATTGAAAAAATCATAGTTTGCGAAATGCTTGACGCATTATCGCATACCTTTTAAGAACCAAGGATCGTAAAAGGAAAATCATATGCATTCTTTTTTCCAGCTTCTTTCTGAGAAGGAACAATGACAACCACCACACATTCACATAAGTTTTACCTACCGCGATTACATTACTTGCAAATCTTCAAAACTGTAAATATAATTTTTTTTTCATTTTTATAAAGCGCACACACTTCATCTAGCATAAGTTTTCTCTTTAAAATATTAATGACAATACTTTGGTACAAAAATTCCCGAATTATTATGAAAATTTTTTTTTCCCATCAACTTACCGTATATTTATAACGTGATATAATGAATAACCTTTGCCTAAAATTATATAATAAATCATTCTCAAAAAGGAAACCGAATAATTATCTATAAAACATGAGTGGCAAAAACAATTTTTTTTTCATTCTCATAAAACCGCAAATCTCGTGAGTCAAATCAGGTAACGAACGATGACTCACGCGCATCACTTGAATGCCCGTGATTAAGGACCTTAAACACCCATACAGTGCATTAACAGATTAGATTCTTTGACAGGAAAATCAATGAACAATCCATCTGTCTTTCTCGTATAATTTTAGATATCACATGTGTAGATACAGCATATTTGACATATTATAATGGTAATAATAGTATTTCCGAATTGATTTTGATAACAAACAGAAAATCAAAATGATAAAACCCATTTTTTATTTAATTTTACAAAAAAATCAAACAAATAAAAAAATTTTTTTTTTCACCGAATATCTCTAGAGTAATGTTCCTATTTACTTTCATTTTGAAAATGAATTGACAAATACACGTGGATACCGTATATTATTGTTATGTGCGTAATGCATAAAAAAAAAAATTATTATTATTATTTTAAATACACCTTTCATTGCTATTTTTTTAAAACAATTGTAAAATAGATTAATTTATCATTATTGTTTGAATAATTAAAATATAATAAGTGGATAACGGTCGGTGTTATTAAAAAAAAATTTTTTTTTCCTGCATGCTCTTTCCTATTTCAAATTCAAGAAATCGGATAATATACGTAGAACTCCGACGCCAATGTCGATGTCAATGACACTTTTGTTCTTAACGAAAATACCATTGCATTTAAAGTAATAATATAAACTGTTGCAGAAAATATCTTCGCATAAAATCCCGATTTTTCGACACTAATAGAAAGCCCCCCGTATTTCCTTATCGGAGGTGACTAATCATATCAAAAACGGAGATATCAAAGCAATGTAATCATGCTTCAAATTTGCGCAATATTTGCACAACCAACCATTTTCCAGGATTTACCAGTTTTTGTAACTCCAACAGGAAATCACCCAATGAAAAGATCAAGCAGCCACGCATTGATTTTTTTTTCCGAGTATGTCCTTTCTAGTCTAGTCTAGCTAGTGCATGTATTGCATACAACTGAGAGGATCTAATTGATTCAACAGATAATACAAACGGAGATAACGAAAATGCTTCAATAAGCTGTGTTTAACTCGTCAATTTAGTGAAAAATGCCTAAATCATTTACATAGATTGTTGATTACACGATCCGATACTCGGAACTAGGTTGCCAAGCAAGTAGCCTCAAAAAAAGTTGTATGCATGGTGAACATCCTTTTTTATATTTTCAACCAATCACGTGATGGGTCTAACGTAATTGGAAACATCTTCGGATTGCATCATAACAAATAAGAATGACACCAGAATCATGTGAAAATTGTTTAATTTCCTACTTAAATGACGAGTGTTATATATGTGTAGATTCGTAGTGCTATATCATTTGACATATATAATAGGCGGGCATTATATAATAGACGTATACATATACGTAAAACGGTTATATTATCATCTGTCGTCAAAAAAGTTTGTATCAAATGACTATCATGGCCTGTTGCTACGAATTTGAAATGAAAGATCTTTATTCCATCAATTCGGTTAAATACTCTCCACCCTTTGCAACCGCTCCGGATACTTTTTGGCAGTTAGAATATAATCCTGTAGGTTACGATTTTTCGCGACTTGATATTTTAACCATCCATTTTGATGCGATACTTGATTTTTCATAATAGATATCAACCTCAAACCCCGATTACTGTTCATTTTATCTGGTATCGATATGCAAGAAGAAACAAAATATTGACTCAAAATGGAACAAATGCCTGCCTGCAAAAATTTATTTCAAAAGATCGGACGGAAAGATTTATAGAGAATTTGATGTCCTGAGAATGGATTCTATTGTCGAAGGTAGAATCCCGGAAAAATGACTTCCCTAATTCCATACTAAATCTAACCTCCTCACCCCTTCATGTATTATGATTAGGCATAGACAATTTTTGCAGAAGGATATCACTTCATCTGGTCAATGTGATCGGTGTGAAATTCAACCATACCCGATTCGTGGAGAACTGTACTGAGCCACCATTCCCGTCAAAACCAATTCCTGACAACCTAATATTGGCATGGTCAAGTGAACTAAACAAACCAGATAAGGCGAATGTTAAATTGAATGTTCAAGGTCAAACGATATATGCAAGTAGCACAATACTCGCGAAACGATCGGAATATTTCCAGAGGATTTTCGAAGGTGAATGGGCTGAATGTAAACGTGACATAGATTTCCCAACGGTTGCTGAGGATTTGACGCCAAGCTCAACAAAATTACCAACTCTGCAACCTTACAAATACGAGATCAATATCACGGATTTTAAGTATCGGACCGTTTTGCAAATGTTAAATTTTCTTTACACAAATCAATTGCCAATCTATAACGATGACGACGACGACGATCATGACATTTGGGAGTTGTATGGTATAGCAGATAAATACCTTCTCACCGATTTACAGGATGAAATAAAATCAATGCTAATCTTAAAAACGAACAGGAAAAATGCTGCCGAGATGTTGTTTAAACATGCATGGAAGTGGGAAGAATTAAAGGCAATAATGATGCCTTACGTGGTAGAAAATTTTGAAGAAATTCGAAAAACAAAAGGATTTAAAGATATCGTAAAAAACAAATTGGATTATTCAATGTATCACGAGTTAAATACTGAAATATTAATGTCCTTGTATCCTGCCCAAGATAGTGACTGTGACGAGTCGATAAGTTCGATTTGAGGAGATATTGTGCTACATGTAAATTATTTTCTTAACTGTATGTATATCTGTGAAACCGCTAGAATAAAATGTAAAAAAATAAAACTATTAGAAAATTTTTTCTAGATTTCTTATGATGATAAAACGGTACAACTTCAACCGAGTGTCTGTCGTATTTATACAGTACTGTGAAACTCCACGCTATCAATAAAGTTATTCCATTTTAGGTCTGATGGCTATGTGGGATCAGGTAAGAACAGAACCTTTAAACTAATTTGAGCAAAGTGTCATTTATTTTCACAAAAACAATGCCGTCTTTCGATTTAAAATTTTTACACTATGTTATATAATCGGAATTAAAAAATTTATATTTGTTTATTTACTATTTTAACAAAAATGGAATTAAAATTATATACCGTATGTTAAAATTAAAAATAAATATTGTACAATAATTTAATCACAGATTTTCTTTTTACAGTATATCCTTAAATACATAGCCTGTCACAATGTTATTGAATTAAATACTATTATTAGATTCAAATATAACTTTATATATTAATGATTACAGGACATTTTTTTCTGATAACAATATAGATCGCATTGTTTTTTACATTCAAAAAAAAATAATTTTTTTTTAAATGCAAATGCAAGATTTTACTTAAATAAGTTATTTACTATTATTCCATTAATGACTTTACAAGAATTGCAAATTAACCAAGGCTTATTGTAATCAAAACTAATATTATTAGTTGATACTTGACAAGTTATTAGAAGTTAAGAATTTTTTAATTTAAAAAAATTTTGTTTTCAAATTTTGTATAACATTTTAAGAGTCCTATTACCAATTTTTTTTGTATTTTGTCAAAAAAAAAATCTAAAATCTAATAAATAAACTATTTATTTATACTGTATATATTTTATTATAAAAACAATATATATATATATATATATAATAATCTTATCAATATATTATCATATTTAAAATAAAAATTATTTTTGTAAATTTTTTATAAAGTTAAATTTTAATTGTTTGAAGTTTTAGTTAAAAACTTACATAAACAAATAATAAAATCAAAAATTTGTATTATTTCTACTTATATTATTGTTAATTTTGCTAATCAACCAATTAAAAATTTGTATTTTAAATCTAATATATATTATTTTTCTATTTATTTTTCTAAACTAAATTTTTTTAAATTATATAATTTTTTTTTCTATTTATTTATTTATATATTTCATCTTTTACAATATTTAATATATAAAAAATTTTGAAATATAAAATATTGTTATAAATAATAATTTAATTACAAATTTCTTTTAATTAAGATTTACAATAATCTTTAATAATATTAAACTTTATAATTTATTTGTTATTATAACTTAAACAAGTAAAAGTAGAATTTATAAACAAAAATATATTTCATTTTTATTTTTCTATATATAATATATTCAATTGTAATCTGTTTATCAAACTTATAATAAAATCAATTTTTTTATAATCAATATTAAAAAATATCCTATAATAGAAATCAATTATAATTATTAAACCAGTATTTAATAATTTATATAATAATAGTATCAAATTTTTGTTATTATAATATAAAATAATATTGAGATTATTAAGCTAGTATACTTTAACAACATATAATAATAATGTCAAATTTTGTTGTTATAATATATATCCAAGTTTTTATATATTGGTTTTTATATAGTAAAAATAATTTAAATTAACTATTAAATAATATAATCTAAATTGAAATTAGAGTATAAAATTTGCTATAAAATAGATATGAAAAATTGATTAATTTGGTTAATTGCCAAATTAAATTTAGAATTATAAAATAAATTAATAAAAATTGATTGATTTAATTGAATTATAGAACTTGAATAATAATAATAATAATAATATAGATATAAATTTTACAATTTTATAAAATTTTAATAATTATAATATCTATATATACATATAATTGAATTTTAATAATTTTAATAATTATATCTATATTATTATACAATTAAATAATTAGTGATATTTATATCCTTATAAAATCTTCTCAAATTCAATAAGAAATTATTTAATCAAGTAACTTGTCAAACTTTAGAAGAACTATCCAAACATTGATGAAAAGAAAAAATTAAATAATGTATCTGTGAATAAATAATTCAGGAGAGGTTTGAATACTTTTTATCCATATTTTTTCTAAACAGCAACCTGCTTAACTCAGTCCAAACAAAAATCAACAAACTTATCAAAATTGCATATAAAATTTCATTCAAATGTTCCAACTCCATAATAATTAGTTATAGTGACCTAAATATATCACTTCTCAAAGAAAGACAAAGATATAGTCTTATTAACAATTTAATTATAAAACTAGCTACTCCTTTTATTAAAAAAGATATGATGCAAACTATTCAATCCATTAAAAAAAAGAAGCAATCTGGTTTTGTCCAATTTGTGATTCAGATAAATTCAATCAAGACAACTGAATATTATATGTGGCCAAAACTGCAAAAAATCTAAAAATCCTAATCTGTTCTTTAAATTGTCCCTTTCTCTTTGAAAACATTTATAACAGTATTGATCTTCTTTTCAAAAACTTGTCTCTTCAACTTAGAGAATCAACAATAAAAATATCAAATACTTTCAATATTAAATTTACCATTCAACTCTTAAGATTCAACAGTTTTCTCAAACTATTCTAATTATAAATTATTTTTTATACTGGTATTGCATGGTGTAGTCCAGAACCAATCTGGTTCAAAAATTTCAACAACAATTTCTTAGGATCCTATAGGCCTATTTCAAATTCAAAACCACTCTTTTAGTTTCTCTACAACATCAACTCTTTTGTTAAAACATATAGAAAATACTTAAACATACATGAAAATACATCTCTAAAAGATACACACTATACAATAGACTCTAGCAACAATCTCATCAAGTGCCATGGCTATTTCCTAGGCTGATTTTCCAATAACTCTTGTTTATTAACCTTATTCAGTACTAATGTTTCCTCACTTTAGATAATTAACAAAATCTTATCCAACTTCAAGCATTGGTTATGTAATATTATAGAAAAACTAGCAATCTCTCCATTCAAAAATGAATACACTCTTTATTCAATAAATATCATATCTGCTTTACTATTTCTTTTATCATTTCAAGCAATTGGCTATTGCAATTTATAGCATAGTCAACTTGTTAAACAAGATATAATTGTCAATAATATCAAATTATAATAACAAATCCAGAAATACAATAGGTAACATGCTCCATATTATTTATAAGATCCTGCAATAGTATCTTATTCAGTGTATTATTAAAATTAGAAACAATAAAAATATAATTTAAATCTTTTTAACCTTCCTAAGAAATAAACAAAAATCAATTTTACTGCTTTAATATCAAGAATTAAACATATGGCAGCACAAAAATTTATCAACTTCAATCTTGCCAAATCTAAGTTCAAATCAAAGTCTATTAATTATATATAATAAAACAATCCACCTCTATATTTTGCAAAAAATTCTATAATAAACCATACAGACTTGGAGAGTTATTCAAGATAGTACAAGAAAATCTTTAGTATTACCAGGTTCTACATAATCCATAAGAACTCCTTTGTACTCAAAACACTTAATTAATCTCATAATACTATTGGCCTTAAAATAATCAACTTATTTAATAAACATATAAAAGGATTTTATAATAACAGTTATAGCAATCTGGCAGTATTCATAATCAAATTACTTTCAGATATTCTTCCTATACAATTTCTTTACAATTTATATCCTGAACATTGCAAAAATACATATTGTCTCAGATATGATTTTCAATCAAAAATTTTTTTCCTATCTTTGATTGCTCTGAAGCAAAAAAAGAAGTCAAACAGATTATCAGTTCAATTAATGCAATTCTCTATTTAGATAATAACAACCACCCAATCTTCAACATACAACAAATAATGAAATTAGCATATGGAATTACTGCAAACATATTCTTTACAGTTAATATTTACAACTAAATTAAAGCATTCACTGAAGCCCTCACAATGTTCTACAATCTTATATAAAAACTTTATTATAGTATAGCAAATACTTCACTATTCACTGATATCAAATGAAATAAAACAATAAAAACAAATAGTAACAAAGTTAGCAACAATAATAAGTATAATCACAACTCTAATATAAATACTTCAAAAATTAATATCACTTCTTGTATTTATACTAATTCAAACCTTCAAAATAGTAACATAACAATTAATATTTTCTTAATCTTATTTCAAATTATCATAATATTATCTCTCAAAACAGCTCTAAGAGATATATAGCTGCTCAATATCATTTGATTAATATATTAGTTTTAAAATTTCTTTTCTAATAAAAGTTAAATAATTATTATAAGCAGACTAGCATTAAACTCACTGCAACTTACATGTAAGAGATATTGTTTCTTTTTAAATGTATATCTTGTAATATACTGTCATATATCGTTTCTATCTCAAGTGAAAGATAAAGACAGAGAACTAGTAGCAAGGAGGCACTTTAGATGGACGGGGCAAATGTGGTGTACTAAAGTTTCTAGAAGTATACAAATTAGTACAGTTCTGAGGTGTATAAAGTCAAGTGAAAGAGGTAATGGTGATTTGTTTTATAAAGGTCAAGATATTTATTTGATAAAATATAAGGTCAAGTCTATCAATTCCTAGACATATTAGAGCCTTTATATATATGTTTAAGTTATAATATTTTTGTACATAATAAATATATGTTATAAGAAATAATAGTGATATAAAAGAAGTGTTATATTCATCAGAACAGTTATCTGTATGTATTAATATAGAAACAAATGCTCTGGCAAAAATACAAGAATAAAGATAATTAAATAAAATAGAAAATATTTTAGAGCAACAATAGTACGAAAAGCATAATGCTAATCAATAACAAAAATAATAATACAAGAATTATTTTAGAATAAATGATATTTCAAGGATAAATACTAATAAAAATTGGAT